GGAAAATTTTATAAAGTTTAAAATTTTCATGAATTTTATGGATGTTACACAATTAATGCATAATTGATGTAGTTTTTTACTTAAGGTGATGGAAATTTTAGGTGTGTAGAGGTTTTGTTCCATCCATCCATGATCAGAATGGAAGTTGATGGGATTCATGAGACTACTTATAATTCTTTCATTCTATGATGTAGATATGACGTAGTATTTGTATGTTAACATTGTTTGATTACATAGATTGAAACTTATTAATTTCAAGTAAACATAAAGAAAAAATCTTATTCATTTGACTGATGCACTGTTTTGTTTTTTGTTTTTATTTTTTCAAATTCATCAACTAAATGGAGCGATTTTTTTAAATTCATCAACTACATCAAATAAATATAATCGCAAAATAATTAGAATCGAAATAACAACCCGATTGAACTGTAACATCCCAAATTCAGAAGTACAATTGAAGGGTCTAAAGTGTACATTGAGGGAGCTACTCAATGAATAGGTGTTGTTACTCATCGAGTCGAAGCAAGATTTGGTCGCGAGTTAAGTGACCAACTCGCTGAGTCGGCAGCTGGACTCGATGAGTTGGTGCTGGGAAGAGAAAACCCTAATCTTAGGGTTTTCACCCTATTTAAAGGACTTAATGTCCTCCCCTCCACCTCCATATTTCCCTTGAGATTCAGTGAACCCTAATATCGTAAGAGCTTCCATTGTTAAAGAGATTTGAGCTTTAGAGGAGGAATATTGAGGAGGGAGCTTGAAGAACAAGAGGCTAGCATCAAGGGTTTGGTGTAGATCCAGCATCTACTTTAGCTTGGGCACATTTTGGAGGTAACAAGCTGTTACCTTGACTCTTTTACATCTAGATCTATTCTTGAATGAGATTTTGAGCCATTTTGGCATGTTAAGGATCTATTTTGGGTTAGGGGTCTATATCTCAGGTTTCTACATCAGATCTAGACTTGTCTTGGTCCAAAAACTCATAAAGTATCAGCCCTTGGTTTGTTGGTGAAGCATCTTTTCCTTAAACCTTAGCCCTAGGATGATTTGGGCCTATAGCTCCTTGTTTTCACATAAAGTTGGAAACTTTACGTAAGAGACATGCCCTAGAAGGATGGATCTACAGTTTGGAGCCCCTGCACGGCTCAAAAAGGGTCTGTATATATGAAGGACTGAAGAGACTTAGCGAGTCGCATGGGTGGACTTGGCGAGTCATATGATGATGAGCTTGGACTCGACGAGTTGGAAGAACAACTCGGCGAGTCTGATGAAGATTGTCGTGGACTCAGCGAGTCTATTCTTGGACTCGGTGAGTCACAACGCATAACCCCCAACCTCTTCTGGTTAAGACTCAAATCAGTGAGTTGAGTGGTGAATCAGTGAGTTGGACAGGATTGGACTCGGAGATTGTTGAACTCGACAAGTCGAGTCGTGATATGAGAGTTTTCTAAGTTTAAGAACTCGGCGAGTCAGTGGGTTGACTTGGCGAGTAGAGTCAATCAGGAAGGTTGACTTAAGCCGGGACTTTGACTTTGACCAATTTGACCTTCAAGGGTATTATGGTAATTTGGATATTTATGTCAATGGATCATTGATGGCTATAGGTGTTGGAGTTTGAGGCAGTGCTTCGGGATTTTGCTTTCGTGGTTCGGTTCGGCAGTTGTAGGTGAGTTATCCTCACTATATCAACAGGGACTAAGGCACCAAGGTCGGCCCTTTATCGGATAGGAATCCAGGTATTTGTTTGATATGTTATTGATTTGGTAGATATTCATCCTGGTAATTAGGATGGTATTATGTTAGTGACCTAGTTAAGGTTAGTATCCTGGTATGTAGGGTAAGGTTATGTTAGTGACCGGTTAGGTTAGTATCCTAGTTAGGATGTTGTTATGTTGTATGATCTGATAGAACCGTTTGTTTGGCTGAGGATTGTTATGTGATTAACTGTTTTATATGCACATGGTTGTTTGACTGGGGTTGGGTTGAGGTGGCTCCTGCTTTTTGCTGTAGGCCAATATACCCAGGGCGGACCAGATAGACAGTAGGCCCAACGAGCAGTTCAGCTAGGTTGAAGGCCCCAAGAGGGCGATCCAGACGTGCCGAGGCTCGGAGAGTGGACCATACCAACTGAAGGCTCGGTGCAGGCGGACCATTTATACTCTAGACTCAGAGAGTGGACCAGGTGGATTGAAGACCCGGTGCAGGCGAACCAGTCACACTGTAGACTCGATATGCATGGCTGATCTGTATTGCAATATGATATGAGTATGATTATATGTGGTTGGTATTTTGGGGGTGACTCACTAAGCCTTCAGGCTTACAGTTTCAGTGTTTTGTTCCAGGTACTTCAGGAGATCGTGGCAAGGAGAATGTGTGATCGTACCGCTACTTATTTTTACACTGATGTTTCTGGGATACTCTGATAATAAATAAACTGAAAACCTTTTTGTAATAATTAATGGATTTGGGTTGTTTTTGAAAAGTTTAAATTGGTTGGAAAATTTTGGTTGTTACATGAACTATTTCTGATAATCAATTAATTGTATTTTCTAAAACTACAATAATCTTCATGGACGATCCGATGATTTCAATCTACAAGAATCAATATATGAACAAATTGTTGAAGACATTATATAGAATCATGAGAATGTATATTACCCTCATGGTAAGATTTTTTTTATAATCGATTAACTCAAGTCAACCGAGTGATGTTATTGAATTCGTTGGTTCGCTACTATAAAAATGGTTCGCTGTTGAACTTATATATATATATATATATATAATATATATATATATATATATATATATATATATATATATATATATATATATAGAGAGAGAGAGAGAGAGAGAAAGAGAGAGAGGCTTAAATTATTCTATTCTAACTAATTATTGTGCAGACGTATGGACAATGCTATTCTTTGAGAATAATAAAAAAAATATGTTGTTTGATAATATAAATACGTTCAATTTTACATAATTATTGTCATTAACACACATTCTCACTAATTAAATCGTCTATAAGGTTATTATACACTTATTATTATTATTTTTATTTCTTTCAGAATGTTGTCAAAATGTTTATTGAGTCGTATTTTGTCAGAATGAAAATGAGTAAAAAACGATGTGTGAGAACAAAAATAAATAATAATTAGCGAGAATGCATGAAAATAACGATATTTTTGTAAGGTTGAATGTATTTGAATTGCTAAACAACTTATTTTCTTAATAATTCATATAGAATAACATTTTCCACACATCCCGACAATAAATATATATATATATATATATATATATATATATATATATATATATATATATATATATATATATATCATTTTCCAAAATGCGAAATATTTTATGTAATAAATCTATAAGTAAACTGATACTATAAGGTCGGACGAAGTGGAGCAGGAAGGAGGTGCGGGAGCCATTTCCGTTCGGAGGAACACCGCACCGGCGGTGTGGGATAGGAGGCACGGGAAGGAGGTGCGGGAAGGAGTTCCCTCTCTCTCTCTCTTCTTGTTAGTGGTTGTAATTTGTTTTTTTTAGTCTGCAGGTTTTAAGAGGAAGAAGGAAGAATTTTTGGAAATGACATATTTGGCCCCAATGTTTTGGTCATATGGCAGAATACATCCAGCTCTGAATTCTCTTTACAAAAATAGTTTTCGAAAATTACAAAATAGATACTATACTTTTGTATTCCAATTATCATTAAAATCAATTAATTTTATTTAAAAAAAATAGTAAGGGAAACCCTTCCCATCCATTCCTTTGGTTTTTGATGAGAGAAATGAAAGTGAAGGAAAATATGATATGGCCTACAAAAAGTGATGGAAGTTTCCCTCTCACTCCCTCCGATCTAACAGGAGAAAAGTGGTTGGAAATATATTTTTGACAAATCAAGCCTCCTAAAAATTACCAAAGGGCTTATAGCCTAGCGGTATCCGGTATTGTCATCCGTCCTTGAAGTCGAGGGTTCAAGTCTCGTCGTTGATATAAGTGGATTTAATGTGTTGTTTAGTAGTAGGTTAGATTTGCCGTTTCAAAAAAAAAACCTCCTAAAAATTGTTTAATTCATAATATTAAATTACTAGGTGTGAAACACGTGTATTACACGGGTTTATTAAAAAGAAGTTTTGATAACCACAAAGACCATGTTCAAAAAAAATAATAATAATAACGATTGAGTTTGTGACATTTTGGTAAACCGAATGTAATATTTATATAATTTGGTCTTAATTAATCTACACAAATAAAATTAATTAATATGAATTCACAAATGGAATATACTATCTACATTAATATACATATACATTAATTAATATATTATTAGAAATAGGTATTCAAAAATAGAAAGTAATTATGTATATTAATGAATATATATTTATAAAATTAATTAATATGAGGTGACATTTAAGATTTAAATAAAAAAGAAAAAAAATCTATAAAAATGACAAATGGATATTAAATAATTCAATAAAATCTAGAAAATAATAAGTGTAAAAATGAAAGAGAATAGAACATGTAACAAAATTATTTATTGTAATGCTATTGGTTTTAGAAACATATTAACATACGGAGTACGTATTAATTAAAATATTAATTAAAAGTAATATTTTTCGAATGCCTAGCCATAACCGGAAGAAGACATAGAACAATATAAAAATCTCACCAAATCTTTAGCCAAAATTTAGGAGTTGGGGGGCTTTCTAGGAACGGATTAAACTTTTGGGGCAGTCAAATATGACCACAAAACTTTGGAATGTTTCAACTAAAAGTCATGGATTTTACGATCCCACCAATAAATTCTCATAAAAACAAAATTAAATTCCAACCCCATAAATGCCCCATAATTAGATTATGACATTTGCAATAGCTCAAGATATGGTCATCAATGATCAACTCCATTACCATATAAATATGACCCCTCTCTATCTCAAAACTTCACAAACCATTCAATAACTCAATCTTTAAAAATGGCCTATATTTCAAGATTTCTTATGCTTATAGTAATTCCCTTGCTTATATCACTTTCCCCCTTTTGTTCTTCAAACCCAATTCAAGACACCTTCCGTCAATGTCTTTCTACCAATACAAACTCTTTAACTCAACTTCCCAACATCTTTTTCACCCCAAACAACACTTCCTTCACACCCCTTTTGAACTCAACCGCACAAAATCTCCGTTGCATCGCATCATATGCAGCAAAACCCGAGGTCATTTTGACCCCGTTACACGAAAACCACATCCAAACCGCGGTTATTTGTGCTAAAAAGCTTGGGATTCAACTTCGTGTTCGAAGTGGAGGACATGATTACGAAGGGAGCTCTTATACATCCGTTATGGACCCTCCATATGTTGTTCTCGACTTGGCTAAACTACGTGGCATTGATGTTGATATAGCGGATGGCTCGGTTTGGGTTGAGGCTGGTGCGACTGTTGGTGAGCTTTATTATCGAGTTGCAGAGAAAAGCAAGGTTCATGGAGTTCCATCTGGCCTATGCACGAGCCTAGGGGTTGGTGGGCATATTGTGGGTGGCGCGTATGGTTCCATGATGAGGAAGTATGGGCTTGGGGCAGATAATGCGCTTGATGCGAAGATCATTGATGCAAATGGTAATATACTTGATCGGAAAGCCATGGGAGAGGATGTTTTCTGGGCTTTACGTGGAGGTGGTGGGGGTAGTTTCGGGATTATACTTTCTTGGAAACTCAAACTAGTGCCTGTTCCTGAAACTGTGACGGTTTTTAATGTTGGGAGGACTTTAGAACAAGGTGCCACAAAGATTCTTTACAAGTGGCAACAAGTTGCCGACAAACTTGACGATGATCTTTTCATTAGGGTGATAATTTCGACCGGAAATATACCAAATACGACTCAAAGAACTGTAAGTACGACTTACAATGCACTCTTTCTTGGAGACGTAGGAAGACTTCAAGGAATCATGAAAGAAAGTTTCCCTGAATTGGGTCTGAAGAAAGAAGATTGCTTTCAGATGAGTTGGTTGGAATCTGTGTTGTTCATCGCCGGCTACCCAAGAACTGTTCCGACCAGCGTCCTACTCGCCGGGAAACCAGCTTTCTTGAACTATTTCAAAGCAAAATCAGATTTTGTGAAAGACCCAATTCCAGAAGTAGGATTAGAAGGCATCTGGGAAAGATTCTTGCAAGAAGATAGCCCATTGATGATATGGAACCCCTATGGAGGAATGATGGGTAGGATATCAGAATCATCAATCCCATTTCCTCATAGAAATGTAATTTTCAAGATTCAGTATTTGAGCACCTGGATGAACCCTGAAAAAGAAGTGATGAACAAGCATGTCGATTGGATCAGAAAGCTTTACAATTACATGGCTCAGTATGTTACGATGTTTCCAAGACAAGCTTATGTGAACTACAGAGATTTTGATCTCGGAATGAATGATAAAAATGGTGATGACACCAGTTTTGTGAAGGCAAGTTATTGGGGAACAAAGTACTTCAAAGACAACTTCAATAGGTTGGTGAAGATCAAGACTGAGTTTGATCCGGATAACTTCTTCAAGCATGAACAAAGCATCCCGGTTTTACCCTTGAAGAGTAGAAAGGGCCAAAATGTACTAAAAAGATTCAAGCATAAAAAGGGTAAAAAGGTAATTCATCATTAAGGGTCAATTCTTCTTTACATTTTCTTTTGTTGTTATGTGACAAAGAAGCATGGGATGTATGGTAGAACAAGTTATAATGGGGTATATGTCATGTTCAAGAGTGAGTGTATGTGTTCGTGATGATTATATATATCTTAATTAGTATAAGACTTTGGAAAAGAATAATATATGTGAAATTTGATGTGTGAGATTGTCATTGGTTTATGGTCAAAGTATGTTGATACAAATTTGTGTAATCACTTCATAGGCATGGTGGAAATGGAAGAGCACATGTGATCACCATTGATGGTTGTAATACCACAAGGGTCATATGATTTGAGATTCTCATTATAATCAGTAGTGGATTCAGAAAATCCATTTTATATATCATGAAATTTGATTACAATTTTATAGTTTAAACAGCCATTTTGTGCTAAATATAATTTCAATCCCAATTAATCTGTTTATTGACAATTTTTTTTTTTTTTTTTATGTCTATAACTTTGATTTGATCCATCAGTTCACTGTGTTCTCTTTTTATCAAATGACGTTTTAGATGTTTAATCAATAGTTAAATAACTTTATTAAACTATATAAGGTACTTCAAATTTAAAATATACGTGTTACATGTGTGAAAAAAACATAAGGACTAAAAGTACATTAGACTTTTAGAGATTAACATTAAATAGAAGGTGTACTATGTTCATGAAAAAGATAATATGTCCATTCATGTGAGGCTACTAATGGTTAGATTAAAAAGTTAAAACTGGTATTGTCAAATACTTATATGCTTTATACAAGCTGTTATAAAATATAATTTATGTTGATGTTTACTTGATGTTCATCATGGGATGTGATAGAGAGCATGTAAACTCTAGATAATATGGATTCCAAAAAGAGACTTTAGCAAGCTTTAATTTACACACACACACATATATATATATATATATATATATATATATATATATATATATATATATATATATATATATATATATATATATATATATATATATATATATATATATATATATATATATATATATATATATATATTATTCCAATGGATTGAGTTTTTGCTATAGTTGAAATGTATATAATAAGACCGTCTTTTATACATACCACAAAAAGATCTACGTAGCCCGATAGACATGCATCATGAGCGTGCACACCATCCCGTGTGTCTCGTGGTGCGTTGTGTTCCGGATCACAATTGGCTATGTCCAATGAGAAGCCTTTGTTGACTTTTGCTATTGATCATCTAGATTTCGAGCTATATCTAGCCTTTGCTCAATTTTTGTCTTTGACCAACTCTATTTTTTGATTGAAAAAGATGATATATAACAATAGGATCATGTGGTGTTTGTGCGGTGATTGAATGGTGTTTGTACGCTGATGAGATGAATAGTTGTGATAGTAGTAATAATACTATCACATAGTAGTAATTATAGTAGTAATTATATATACTATCACAAAATAGTAATTATACTATCACATATAGCCCTTCAATTTCTCCACGAACAAGAAGCATCTTTTATTTTGGTTTTCGTACACTTCACCCTACGACATACAATGATACAAAACATATAACCAGTAAGTATTAAATTATTATAACTCGACCTTTGAGAGAAGTATATATATATATATATATATATATATATATATATATATATATATATATATATATATATATATATATATATATATATATATATATAATGCCCCGTAAATCCCTTTAATGATGATAAAATCAATAAAATGTTAGAATCTCTTTTTCGAGAGATTCAATTACTTTAAGTTTAAAGCTGACAAAAAGGAAACACCAAGAGTAATAATGATAGACAAAATTATATAAATGGTCCATTCAGTTTATAAATAATCACTACATTATTCCCTAACTTTTTTCCTTAGACGTGGATCGTCCTTATGCTTTAAAATCTTGATTGGTAGGTCTTCAAACATATAAAACAACTTTATTCTTTTTTTATTTCCTTTTTATTTTTATTTTTTAACTTTCATACAAGATAACTCTATTCTTTTTTTCATTTCTTTGTCATTATCCAACTAAAATCCCTAATATTTGATCGTTTTTCACTAAATCAATCACGAAATCGAAGAATATACACAAAAATGTCTTCTAGAACAAAGATTTCAGCATTTGAAGCTTCATCAAAAGGTAAACAAAACACACATTGCATGATTTTAATGATAATTGAGGTTTTTCTACTATTATACGTGAAATCCGCACATTCAAAGTTTTTTTTAATTATTATGAAATTTTTTTGATCGATATCACTCGATTTTCATGATAATTGAAGTTTTTTCTACTGTTATACACGAAATTTGCATATTCAAAGCTTTTTGGAACTATTATTGAATGTTTTTTTTGCTCAATTTTCATGATTATCGAGTTTTTTTTTTTTTTTTTCTATTTTTATACACGAAATATACATGATGCCCAGACGATCGGATTGAATGACAAATTACAAACAGCATGAACAAAAAGAGCAAAGATAACTCCAAAGTTGGATTCTTTATTAATTAATAATCGAATAATGTCTCTAATAATGAAAAACGAGATACTTATAAGGAGGATAAGATACATAAGTTCTTAACCCTAAGAGATCATAATTAATTAGAGAAAAAAACCCCGCAATTAATTATCTAAATCAAAGCTCAGAATAAAAAGTTGTCGCAAAAAAAAAAAAAAAAAAAAAAAAAAAAAAAACCCAGAAAAAACGCGTTTTGAGGCCTTAAACAATCCCGAATGACCGAAAATCACCATACATCATGGCGAAACAATCAGTTTTCTTAATTGACCCGTTTACACGTCGTATACGAATTCCACTCAATTCCAAGCTGTTGGATCACTTTGGAAAATTTGGTGCTTATGTCATCATACTTCCATTCCTACTAGTGTTAACATCGTCAAGTCATGCTTCAAAACTTGTACCACCTACATCAATACATATTGTAAAGTTTTTTAAACTAAAATCCTAGCATTCAAGGTCGAACTAGTTATTGAAGGTTTTTTGTTGGGAAAATGACTCTTGAGGGTAATTAACTTTTGCGTTTGTACTCATTTGGTCCCTTTCTTTTTTTTTGTATTCAATATACCATCGAACTTGTTGTTTGTGTTCACCACAACCCTTTTGACCAGCTTTTGACTTGTGATAGCCGGTTAAAGGGTTGTGGTGAACACAAACAACAAGTTCGATGGTATATTGAGTACAAAAAAAGGGGACCAAATGAGAACAAATGCAACAGTTGGTTACCCTCCTGATTCATTTTCCCTTTACTCATTACATCAAATCCCACGTCATCTCCTACTGATATTAATGACTTTATGAGATTCATTCTTGTTTCTCTTCAAAACATAACTCACGAAAGAACATTATTCATACACGTACAACTTTGTAATGCACTTGAATATTTATTAGGGGAATCTTAACTAAGTAGACGCATTTCATGACCACATTTACATTTCCAATCAAATGATTTATCGTATCATGGATTCTAGACAAGTCTACAAACGAGTGGAATCACAAGTGCTGTGATTTTTTAATTTACTTAGCTTTAAGATCGAATTAATGGGATAAGATACAACATCAATATGTACAATATCATGCTGCTTTTGTAGACACATGACCAAAATATACCTTGAGGTAAACATTTATACTAATAAATATACCTCTCATGCAGAGTCATATCATTTTGCAGAGAGGTGTTGACAGTTAACCACAGTAAGCATAACATAGACTATGTTTTAACAAGGTTACCCCTTTGAAACGCTCTTCATATACATTATAGTCAAATAAGGTTACAGTCTTTGATAATTTTGCTTTTTGGGGAAAACGTCTTAGGAGGGTAACCAACTGTGACAACCCGAAGTTTTTTTTTCCATCACCACAACCCATTTCGTCCATAAAACTCGTTTTAATCAAATTATTCCGATTTCGTGTTTGGATTAGGTCAATTAAGTTAAGACTTTTATTTGACCTTGTAAGTATCCAAACATATTGGAAACATGTGAAAACGTCTCAAACTAGTAATTAGAAAAATTTTAGTTTCGACCATATCGGGTGACCACAACTTAATCGGGTGCGACCAAAAGCCTCGGTTAACATCAGTATCGGGTAGAATTCCACCGTGTATCAAATTCAAACCATATTTAAAGTGAATTAAGACTCATTTGGAGCCTTTTCACTCTCTCTCTAACCTCTCTCCTCAATTCAAGAATTTGATCCAAAAATCATCCCTTTCAAGCTTCAAAACACCAAGGTAATCATCCTAGCTTCTTGTACATCATTCCTAGCCTTCAATTTCGAGTTCAATTAATGAATTAGGACCTTAGACATGTGTTTACAACCCTAGAACACTCTTGGGCCGTGAACACATATAAATGGGGTTTTTGAGCCTCAAAACCCTTCCAAATCACCATTGGAGCTTAGATATCGCTTAAGGACTTAATGGATTGGACTTAGGACATCTTAAACTCAACATTTGGGGAGTAAACATGAGTTTACTGCCCAAGAACAAGCTTGGGCCATAAACACCATTTCATGGGGAGTAAACTCCTTTTTGGGTGTTAAAATGCAACTTACACACCTCATAATCCCTGGAATAAAGTCTAGAAGCAACCACAAACAAGTTAGGGACCTTAAACTTGATTAAAAGAACTCCATAAGGAGTTCACGGCCGTAAACCCCCCAAGAATGGGTTACTGGGCCGTAAACTCCTATAAATGGGTTGTTTGATGCCCTAAACTCACCCATTGGCTTGTAAAATTGAGTAGAATCAATTGTGATTAATCATTGACCTTCAAAACACTTAAGAATGACGTGGGTGAGAGTTTACGGACATAAACACTTAGTTTACTACCGTAAACTCATCAATTAGTCCATATGGTTGAGTTAATTCCTTGATAATGCCCTAGAACCAAACCTAGCAACACCTCTCATTTGATTTAAGGCCATTTAGCACATAAGAACACCCCACCATGAGTTTACGGCCGTAAACTC